ATTAAAATGTCACATCCACGTCTAGAAACAAAGTGAATTGTCAATCACAATTTTAAAAGATTCGATACGCTCTTTACAACAACAACAACAGACACGCTCACCGCAAATGGCAATATCCTGCGTTTCCCAGTGGATTTTTCCCCATCAGGAGACCCTACTACAAAGCCAGTTCCTTCTCTCAACCCAAGCCAGAAAATAATTAAATATATAGAATTTTGGCAATTAAATTTATTTATTTCTTTGTAGGGATACACACCGCTTCATTTGGCAACTCAGTTTGGAAGAGACAATATCTTTGAATTACTGTGGAATGTCTACAGTAAGTATTCGTATTTGATGAACCGTAAATCAACGACCATAAGATATAAGATGCTTCTCATACGATGATCTTTCACTGTATCTTTTAATGGTTAATTCAATTCGATGCCATTGCAGAGGCCAACCGTGACATTATGGATTGGAGTGGCAACAAGCCATTGGACTATAGCCGCCAGCGACCGAGTGTATCGGCCTCCACGTGCAGCAGTGAGTATCAAAAGTATTTCCTCAGTACGGAGGTGAACAACAATTACCGCCTCGGAGCCCAATACTTTGACACGTTTCCATACGGTGCTGGGGATCTCACCGGCGGTACACTGGGCAGTGTTCTAACCCGCGGCAAGAAACGCTCTCAGCTGCTGTATGCCACCGTAAGTGGCGGAGGCGGTGCGAGTGGAGGCGCTGTGGCGCGCTCCCAGTCGCTGATGGTGCGGCAGTCACAGCGTCGCCCAAAGAAGCCATCAGTGCAATCGATCTTGCTCAAATCGAATCCTGAGGACGATTTGGTGCCCTGTGAGGTTGTGCAGGGTGAAAAGAATCCTGGATTTGTGCGGGCCGGCACCTCCACTCGGCGCAAAGAGAGCTTTCTCCGTAAAACCTTTCGGTCCGCCACCAAAGCCAAAGATATTGTTACTAACCCAGAACAGCCCAGCTAAAGGGTATTGCAATTAAGTATTGCTTGTATTTGAATTTTTATTTTACATATGCCACAAATATGCTTCTAAACAATTGGTGGTAAAGGATGACCCATTGTGGTTCACACTATTGTATTATTTTCTACTCTTTCCAATACGAAGGCTTGCCTATTGAATAGCCAAATTCGTTGATATATGTATGTATAGCCCATGCCAACACCAGTGTATTAATGCCACAGCATGACTGTATCTATTTGTTTGTATTATTTTCTCCATGTATAAAACTCCCACAAGCCTTAGGCTTAGCCTTAAACTTAAGCCCAATCTAATCTATCGCAATGGTGTGCCGAGTAACTAAACATAAGTAATCAATTTTTATACACATTTATAAATAATCGCATGTTTATTTATTATAATAAAATATACACAAATTGAGTAGCTGCATTTAAAATTATAATTCTGCTAGAAATCTCAATTGCACATCAAGAGATTGTATAAACTACATCAAAATTTACTATATCTGAATGATAGCTATAGTTTAATCCTTGAACATACACTAATTCACAACGAGAATGCGCTTTTTAACGGATTAACAGTTTCTTATTTGTTAAAAACAAAAACACTGATTCCAAACATCACTGACAAACACCTCGAGACGTAGCGTATATTCGAATATTCGACTTCTTCTGCTAGTAATTAATATGCAATGGGAACCTCTATTTTATTTTCAATTTTGCTGTATGTAGAGATTCAAGCGATGCGATTCAACGGCGGACTCAACGGTACCTGGAGGCAGGTTGAAAGTTTTAACGATCTTGAGTATTATCCAACTATTAATGTTGATTAAATATCCATTGCTTTTGCTATTAGCCTTTGCATAAATCCGCTTTGAACTATCGGCCTGTAAATATATACATATATGCATACTCCTTTTCCGATTGGTAGCTGAAATCTTTTTATTTCTTAATTTTAATTTTATTTTCGAAAGCATTTTGAGTTGCAAAGCCTGATTGCATTTCTATTGGTAAGTTTTCCTTTCTTCCTTATTATTTCTTCCATGTTATTCCTCATCGCCTGATCCAACATGTACCTCCATACATACATACATCCATAAGAGTTATATGGCATTTGTTTTATATGTAAATGTTTCAGCATATTGTTCATTTGATTCTTCGAATTATCAAGCAATCATTTAAAATATTTCTTTTTGGTTAATTTTCAGAAATCAAAGCACGAAAAAAGCATACAAGTAGGTCTATTATAATTATGATTATTCGATGGTCGAAAATAATTAAAATTGTTTTGCTTGATTTGCAGTCGAAAAAGATTTGGGATTCCTTCGGATTGGTTCACTGAATGTCCGGGTAAAGAAGACAACAGAGGCTTTCAGCAATTTCTTGGGAGTGGGCAATGGCAGTGGGGTAGCTCCGACGGGATATGGCAGTGGCGGGGCCACAACAGCAAATCGCCCTCACCAGCGATCTCACCAACACCCTCATCAGCGTCATCATCACCACGTTGGTACGACACGGAGTCGCCATCCGAATCAGAGAGTAGCGACCACACCGTACGGCACGAACTCGATACCGGGTTCGAGGGCGAGTGTTCCAAATAACCGAAACATCTATGACGTTGTGCACAAGTCGTGGGGCTCTGCTGACAATATAACGCAACGTACAGAAGACCTAATGCCACCACCGAAGTCAGTAGAAACCAAGCGGAATAAGTCCTCGAAAAGGTCATCGTATGCGTCCAATGCAACGAACTCGCCTCGGGACTCCATTTGCTCATCCAACTCAAGCTCGAATCTGAACAGCGGCTACAGCAGCATGCCCACCACTCCGAATCAGGTTCGTGCTCCTAAAGGCATGGATCACACGTCCTTCACAGCCGATTCCGATTCAGATTCTGCCTGTGGATTCGATTCAAGCTGGTCCGTTAGCCATCTAGCTGCTGTGGGCAACAATCCGACACAATCATAAGTACATAACAATTATGATGTATTTTTTTTTTTGTATAATCTTGTAAAATTAATGCAAAATTGACGATAAAATCAATAAACTTATCTATTTTACACTCTTTGTAATGTAACCTACATAGGCGCTGGAATTTTCTTATAAATTTATATAGATTTCAAATTTGATTATATATTTTTAAAAGTATCGTTCTGGCGTGAACGATTACTTTTAAAAACGCGTTAAGGTATTTCGCACAAATTTGATCGATATACCGATAATTTCTATCAATTTACACGTGCGGCCAAAGTTGTTTTTATTCAATTCTTTAAAGTTTAAACTAAATAAAATGGGTAAAAAGGACAAAAATAAGAAGAAAGGCAAGGGTGCCGAGAAAACTGCAATGAAAACGGACAAGAAAAATGCTGCCAAGCAGAAGAAAATGCTGGAAAAACTCGGAGAAGTATGAACTAACTAAATCTGAAAGAAGCCTTTAATGCCTATTCACATTTTCCTTCAGGCCAACATTACTGATATCATCCATATGCTGGAGGTGAAGGAAGGCCGGCTAGATGGCATTACTGAAGAAGTCTGTCCGCCGCCCAGTCCTCGGTCCAACTTTACCTTGGTGGCGCATCCCGAGAAGGAGGAATTAATTATGTTTGGAGGAGAGCTCTATAATGGAGCCAACATCAGTGTGTATAATGACTTGTTTTTCTACAACATAAAAGCAAACGAGTGGAAGGCACTGCGCTCTCCTGGCGGACCGACCCCACGAAGCGGCCATCAAATGGTTTCCCTGGCAAGCAACGGTGGAGAATTGTGGGTATGTCCACAGCCTTTAATTAATCCAAAACAGTTGATCGTAATACAAATATTTATAGATGTTTGGTGGGGAGCACGCAAGTCCATCCCAGCTGCAGTTCCATCACTATAGAGACCTATGGAAATTCAGTCTCAAGTCGCGAAAATGGGAAAAACTTTCAGCACCCAATGGACCAAGTGCCAGGAGTGGCCATCGAATGACGGCTTCAAAGAAGCGTTTGTTTATTTTCGGTGGCTTTCACGATAACAACCAGTCATACAATTACTTCAACGATGTCCACGTTTTCTCCCTTGAGACATACCAATGGTTAAAGGTAGAAATAGGCGGCCCCACCATTCCGCACGTTAGATCCGGATGCTGCATTGCTGCGGCTCCGGATGGTAAAGTTTTCGTCTGGGGTGGCTACTCGAGAGCGTCAATGAAGAAGGACATCGATCGGGGCGTCACTCACACCGATATGTTTGCCCTGACTCAAGATAGTAAGATATTAAACCCTACTTAATCATGTACACCCATCTTAACCTTTCGTGGTCCTAGAAAACAGCGGAGATGGTGAAAATAAATACAAATGGATCGCCGTCAAACCCGGAGGCTATCGACCCAAGCCGCGGAGTAGTGTTGGCTGCACTGTCGCTGCAAATGGCAAAGCGTATTGCTTTGGCGGCGTAATGGATGTCAATGAGGATGACGAAGATGTGCATGGACAGTTTAGTGACGACTTACTGGCCTTTGACTTGACTGCACAAACATGGCGTTTGCTCGAAATCCTGGAAAAGAGCAGTCCTGCTGCCAAAAAGAATGCAAAGGACTCGACTGATGTCGAAATGGGTGAAAGCAAGGCCGCTCCGGCAGGGCCTGTGACCACTACCGATGGCATATTCACCGTCACAGTTGGTGGACCCAGTACCAGTGGTACAACACCCTACACATCTGCCATACCCAGCCTCTTTGGTAACAAGCCACAGCGTGCCACATCTGTGCCATCGCCGCGGATGAATCCTGGACTTTGTGTGTGCAAGGGCACATTGTACGTCTTTGGGGGACTGTTTGAAGAAGACGCCAAGCTGATGACATTCAACGACTTCTATGCCCTAGACCTGCACAAGCTGGAGTGGAAAGTCTTAATCCCAAATAATTTTAAGGCACACGATTGGGTCGACAGCGATAGCAGCAGCTCCGATGAGGAGACCAGCGGGAGTGATGAGGATAGCTCCAGCAGCTCTGACATGGACACTGACTAAATAAATAGACCCATAGTGTCACCACTATATTTCAACTTTTGCTTTAATCATACATATATACAATGGAATATTGATCAATAATTGCTTATCTTATAAGCGATCTGCAGATGTGCTTATAGTTTCAGAATCTCCGTAAGTATACGCTTTGTATCGTGTGGAGTGTTCACCTTGTGCCCAATAATTCGTGGATCGGTATAAATTTCATAGTCGTTGCCACCTGGTTCCGTCTTGTCACCGAAGAAATGTATTTCCTTATATTTATAATGGGCTTCAATGTGTCGAAGGCAATACGTTTTGTCCCAGCCATGGGGAAAGACATCGAAACTGATTTGTCCGCCTATGCTGTAGGTGAGGTCCACATCGGCGAACTCCTTTTTAAGCGCGGCGATCATCTTCTCCCGGATCTTATGTTCGATGTCATATAGGGCAAACATGTTCCTCTCCTCTCGAGTGCACTGCCGACCGATTGGGCAGACGTTCATCATTCCATTGCGGAATTCAATGAACGTACCACGTTTAATGGGAACATCTAGCTCGGATAGGTATCGAAGAACATAGTTTATGAATCGCTTTAGCACTGGCTCTCCCAAATGCTGGATTATGTTTTGCTTTCCAACTTCGGCGCCACCTTCGATTTGCACCAGCCCGTTCTCGGGGAATATAAAATCGAATTTCGTAAGAATCTTCTTGCCGCTAAGCTGCTCGAACATTTTCTCCAGATCAGACCCGCCAACAATTCCAATCGTCGCCCGAGGTTTAACCTCTGCGTAGAGGAACTCTTCAAATTCCGGCTGCACCACCGACCGGGGCATTGTTAGCGTACCATCCACATCGAACAGTAGGAGAATTTCATCGCGGCTGAGGGTTTCCGTGCTCATCTTGGTTGCTCGGCTAATTTTACCATATAATATCTAAAATGCAAACACCACGTATGACGCTGATAAAGAATAACAAAAACAACTTGTAAGCGGCAACGAATCTATGAGAAATACCCTAAAGCTTTTCCAGATTTCCAAAGGCAAAAGCTTGGTGCATCTACACGCCGATATTTTTCCATTTAAAGCAAGGATTGCGCCAAATATTTAAAGTTATAATATATTTTAACTTTTGCGCGGAAGTTATCCGGGTTATAATTGTACATTATCAAATAATATCTGAGTACCTTAATTGCATAAATTATACGAACAATAGGTAAATTATATTTATCGATAACAAATAGTTTTTGTGTTTTTGGTTGTTTGGAAACTACAAAATGTACATCTTGTTTTATGCCTAATCCGCATGCCAATTACATGGCACAGCATTTTTAAATACATCTTTCCCTTTCAGTCCTTTCTTTTGATAGTATGTTGCAGCTCATCTCTTTTTATTTTGCTGTACTCCTGGAGCGACTTGTACTTCTCCGTATTGAGCATTGGGTCCAGTATAACAGGATACACCGCTAGCCCAATGGCTCCCACAATGCAGGATACGAAACCAACGAATTTCCATCCACGTAGAGCTGCCATTTTATCTTAAACAATTAAAACGTTAAAATAAAATCGAGAAATTTGTTACAAAACAAAAAACACCTGTGTTGTGCCGAAAGATGCTAAAAAATGCCAAACGCAACTGGGTTGCAGTGGGACCGCGGACCTATGGCGGTATATTTTTCAAATGAGACGGTATGCTTCGGTACATTTCTGACGGTCACACTGGTATATTTTTTGTTGGAGCTAGGCTTGGGTGTGTCAATTTTGTAATATCTGTCTTAGATTGTGTGTATAATTTGTTTGCTTAAATATAATTAAGATGGTTAGAGCCCCAGTTTGTGTGGCTCTAGTCAGCGTTCTTTGTTTCACCGTCACTTACGGTAAGAAAGGTTTAGGATGGAGATTAAGGCCGTGATACCTTTGGGCGTTGCTCGTTCGTCACCAGCGTATCACTCAAACATTACTATCCAATAAAACTATTATTTATTTTCTGTCAGCACAACATCACTACAATGAGCATAGAACAAGCCAAGTTATTTGGTGCACGAAAAGTATGGAGGAGCAGTACAAGTGCCTAAACCTAACTGTTGCCATAGAACGTGACCGCGCACTCTTTGATGAAGCGTTTCTGAATTTAACATGCTTCAAGGCATATAGCGCTGACGAGTGTATCCACCACATCGATCGTGAGAAGGCCCACATTACTTCACTGGACGCCGGCGATGTCTTCACAGCTGGTCGCTACAACTCCCTGATTCCCATAATGCAGGAAAAATTGGAGGGCGGCTTTCAAGAGTATCAGTCCGTGGCGGTGATCAAGAAGGGTGCACTTTCCGATGTTACTAGTCTGCACGGTCTTCGCAATAAGCGGGCATGCTTCCCGTGGGTTGGAAGCTTGGCCGGATGGATTGTGCCAATACACACGGTAGGAACTAAATTACTTGTCTTGCCTTTCTTGGGTGGACTCTCATGATGGATTTATTTGTAGCTCCAAAAAGAAGGTGGAATGGAAGTTGTGGATTGCAACAATCAAGTAAAAACTGCTGCCAACTACTTCAACAGGTCGTGTGCCGTCTACTCTCTGACTGACAAATACAATCCCATTGGAGACAACTCCGACAAGTAAGAGCAATTAAAGGAATTTGTAGAGATTTTTAGAGAAAACAACAAAAATTCTTTGCAGACTTTGTACCCTTTGCACTGGCAAGATCCCCGGTGGCCGCTGTTCGTCGGCAGATCCCTATTTCGGATACGAAGGAGCATTTAGATGCCTCCTGGAAGCCGGTGACGTTGCCTTTTTGCGTCACTCGACAGTTGGTGAAATGCTGCAGACGCCAGAATTCAGTGAGTAGTTTTATTTGCCATGAAAAGAGATGCCTCGTTAGCATACTATATTTATTTTCAGAAAACTTGTCCCCGGACAGTTTCGAACTGCTTTGCCGGGATGGTCGTCGCGTTCCCATTAACGACTACCGCCAATGCAATTGGGGCCAAGTGCCAGCCGATGCCATTGTAACATCTTCGGCGCGCAGCTTCAGTGACAGAAAGCAGTATCAGTTGTTTTTGAAACGCATTTCTGAGCTGTACTCGGACGGGCTTCGTGAAACAACTCCCAACAACCAGGGAGGAGCCGGGTTTACCAACTATGAGCAGAACAAGTTCAATACTGAGCAAGGTCGCAGCAACGCCTATGATCAGTTCGGCAATCAATATGACCCAAGCAATGCCTATAGCAGAAATCAGAATCCCTACGATCGTTTTGATAACTCGAATTTCCGCAACGAACGTCTGGATAGCAGCTTCTCTTCGGATGGAAACACCCCAGACCGCAACAACGGGTCGATTCTCTATGAAAAGTTCCGCATTTTCGATTCCAAAAGATACGGGAAAACCAATCTGCTGTTCCAGGACTCAAGCCGGGCTCTTACGCTTATACCCGAAGATGATCAGTCCTTCACAAAGTATCTGCAGAGCTCCATCAATTATATATATGGCATAAGGGAATGCCCAATTCCAGCGATGACCCTTTGCGTGACTTCCGAACAGGAGCTTGAAAAGTGCATTAAAATGAGGGTGAGTAATAGAGAGATCCCTGAACAGCGATGCAACAATCTATTTCTAATTAAATTAAACCTTTACAGACTGCCCTTAAAGCCCAGATCTTGAAGCCCGAGCTCATTTGCAAGAAAATGCACTCGCACATCAATTGCATGCAGTTCATTCAGTCTGGCAAGGCTGACATTGCTGTGTTCGATGCCGGAGATGTTTACACTGGAGGCCTGAACTACGATTTGATACCATTCATGTCGGAGGTCTACAATCTGGGGGAGCCGTACTACTACGTGGTGGCTGTCGCCAAGGAGGAGGATCCAGATACGGAGCTCACTTACCTGAAAGGCAAGAATACTTGCCACACGGGCATTAACACAGCCGCCGGCTGGACGTATCCCATGGCCCTGTTCATCTCAAACGGCTGGATTCGGCCATACGGCTGTGACTCTGTACGCGCAGCTGCGGAGTACTTCACAAAGTCCTGCGTCCCCGGTGCCATTAGCAGCGAATATAACACCGGAGTGCCGTATGACAGCATGTGTGACCTGTGCCACGGAACTAGCTACAGATACTGCCGACGTGATGCGTCAGAGGACTATTATGGTCATACTGGTGCATTCCGATGCCTGGTGGAAGGCGGCGGTCATGTGGCCTTCATGAAGCACACCACTGTGATGGAGAGCACGGGCGGCAAACGGAAGGAGTGGTGGGCACGCAATGCGCTGAACGACGACTTCGAGCTCTTGTGTACGGATGGCACCCGCGCCGAAATACAGGAGTACAAGCGCTGTAATTTGGGCAAGGTAAAGGCCAATGCCGTGGTAACGCGCGGTGGAGTCAACTACAACGAAACCCAGTTAAATGCGTACATCAACCTGTTGACCTATGCCCAGCAACTTTACGGCAGAAAGGATGTGGATGCTTTCAGTTTCAGCATGTTCTCATCTCCGATCGGACACTACGACCTGATCTTTCAGGATGCCACTCGGCAACTACAGGTCATTCCGCGGAACAAACGAACCTACGATTCCTATTTGGGCAGTGACTATATGAGGGCTCGTCGCATAACCGACTGTTATGCGGGTGCCTCTCAAGTGGCCCTTTCCATAGGTCTGCTAATTTCGAGTGCAATAGCTATAATGCTCTAAATGCGACACACTGCCAGTCTAAACATCTACGTAGACTCGAAGTACAATAATCTCTAGCACAAACAGACAAGGCAACATATCAACATTTTTACATTCCCAATTATAGATAGTAGACCACTATGAGATCGCTTTTGTAGTCCACAAAGGTCATATTATTTTTACAAAGTGCCTCGAACTATACTGAAAATGCAGTACGTTTAATGTACATAGCATTTGTACATAGCAACTAAGTCCGTCCATTTTTTTGTACCTATGACAAACTGTTCCGAAAAAATTATTAACGAAGGAACAACAAGATTTTACAAAGTTTTACAAATTAGTATATTTAATAAATAAATAAACCAACCATCTTCCTTGGTTTTCTATATATCTATTCATCGAATTAAACTCCACACTCCTACCCAAAGTATACATATCAAAATCATTTATCCCAAGCGTCTTAGTGTCCCAATTTCGTATTAGCACGGCACCAGAATTCAAATTAACGACGAGTCAATGGTGACGTCATTTGGGTGTCGGCATGATGTTATGGCAAGTTTATGTAAATAGATGGCGTATTTCTTAGGGTCGACGGATTTTTTATACCATTACTTTTTCTAGTATTTTTTCAATGGTTCTAAAGGATACTTTTATACATTTTATTCCATTTGTGAGTATTTTGTAATATTTTCTAGTATTTTGTGGTATTTTAAGCGAATTTCAACATTTTCCCTTCAGGTGTCGCTGTTGATAATTACATAAATTTGTAGTTAACATGTATCAAGTGTGTCGTAAGAGTGTAGTTAACGTGTAGCAAGCATGCAAACAATCTAATTTTGTGGAAATTTGTATTGACCTTTTTAGCTTAAACCTTATTTTATGAACAATCCAATGAAGACGAGTTCTTAGAATAAACCATTAATGTATAAAATTAATTATATTGTCGGATAAAATTATATTTGTAGTGCTCAGGTTTCCAGCTAGCTAACAGTATTCAACCGAATACCAAAATCGATTAATATGACGGTATTCCATATTTGGTTAAATAGATAAAACCGCGGTTACACTGGGTGGCACGCGTTTGTGTTCCTCGAAAAGTGAAACTCGAAAGCTGTTTCTCGACCGGTTAGCGTAATCTGTGTATAAGTATTTAAAGAGATTTTGGGTGCCACCCTACTTTGGACCATTTGGAACTCGCTCAAGGCTAGAGAATGTCGATCAATCTGCGAACTGTGTACGCCTTTGCCAGGGAAATGTACCCCAAACTTTCCACGGAGTACATTCAGTATGGAACAGCTGGGTTTCGCGGCAAGTAAGTTATATTATGTATGATATGATTAACAGACTACCAAAACCACAAAACCCAAATGAAATGCATACATCTTATGTATTAATTAAGCAATGAATGTATTTGTATGCATACATATACGTAGATTCGAGTAAATATGTACGCAGATGGTCGTGTCTGACTGGCGGAAGATAAGTAATGCGCTTGCACCATGTTGTTGAAATTCCTATTTATTTTTAGATGCTTTCCACCTTTTATCAATGGACATGCCCTTTCTGGCATGTACACTCATTACCTTTCCTTTGTACACAAGTACTATATTAATAGATATATTTAGGCATTGAACTAAGGATTCAAGATAGGGGCTTGTATGAGATGTCACTTCAAGGAAAGCAAGATATCTTAATCAGCGTGAGTGTATTGTTCTATAAGGAGTCCCAGGCAGATACACTTCAATGAAAATGATAACCATCAACGCCGCGAAAGTTCATAAAAGTATACTGATTTATCTTTTATTTACATTGCAGGGCCGAATTCTTAGATAGCGTCATGTTCCGGATGGGAGTGCTTGCCACGTTACGTTCTCGATTTCGCGGCGGTGCAGTCATCGGCGTAATGATCACTGCCTCGCACAATCCGGAACCGGATAATGGAGTGAAGCTAGTCGACCCCAAAGGGGAAATGTTAGATGCTAGCTGGGAGTCCATAGCGACGGATCTGGTCAATGTAAGCGACCAGGACTTGGAGCAGCATGTAGCGAAAATTATTAAGGACAATAGTATCGACATCACGTCGAGCTCCCATGTGTTCGTCGGCATGGACAATCGGTACCACAGCCCGCGCTTATTGAAGGCGGTGGCAGACGGAGTGATAGCCCTGAAAGGCAACGTTAGGGAATTCGGAATAGTGACCACACCCATGCTCCATTTCTTTGTGGTGGCTGCAAACACTAAGGAGACGTACGGAAAGCCCACGGAAGAAGGATACTATGAGAAACTTATTAAGGCCTTCGAGCTGCTACGAAACGGTCAGCTAGAGAACGGAAACTATAAGAACAACGTGGTCTTCGATGGTGCAAATGGAGTCGGTGCTAGAAAAATGTTGCAGTTTATTAAGCGTATGAATAAGTCGTTAAACATATCTGTTATAAACCAAGGCATAGGACCTGGCAAGATCAACGACGAGTGTGGAGCCGACTACGTCAAAGTACTTCAGCGGCCGCCCATATCCATGCCGGTTGTGGAACCTTTCACGCGTTGTGTCAGCGTGGATGGCGATGCCGACCGAGTGGTTTACTTCTTCACCAACGAAAAGGGAGAGTTCCAACTGCTGGACGGGGACCGCATTGCCACGCTAGTCGCCGGATACCTAATGGACTTGGTAACGCGGAGCGAGATAGATCTGCGTTTGGGCCTGGTCCAAACTGCGTACGCAAATGGGGCGTCCACCGATTACATAGTCAACGATTTGAAATTCCCTGTTTCTTGTGTCCCAACTGGTGTTAAGCACCTGCACCACAAAGCCCTTGAATACGACATCGGCGTATACTTTGAGGCAAATGGACACGGAACAATTGTGTTCAGCGACCACGCGAAGGCTACGATTGCGACAGCTTCTGAAACGAAGGCTAGTGCCAAGACCTTGCTGCTCCTGATTGATCTCATTAACGAAACTGTTGGGGATGCCATCTCAGATATGTTGCTTGTGGAGACGATTCTGAACCACAAAGGCTGGGATGTTAAAGACTGGATATCTACCTACAATGACCTGCCAAACCGACAGTTGAAAATTAAAGTCCAGGATAGAAATGTCATCGAAACCACAAATGCGGAAAGAGTTTGTGTCAAGCCAGAGGGTCTGCAAACGGAGATAGAAAATGTGGTATCGAACTACAAACGTGGACGCGCCTTTGTGCGGCCTTCCGGCACAGAGGACATAGTACGAGTATATGCAGAGGCTGCAACTAAAGAGGTACATATTAATCAATCAAATCATTCTTTTTTAGTATATTACCCTCGTATTTCACTTTAATTCCAGGACACAGAGAACTTGGCCTACGAAGTGGGAGTACTCGTTCAAAGACTGGCAGGTGGAGTCGGACCGGAGCTGACAAAACCAGGCAGTGCACACCTATAAACGAATTGATCACGCCGAATAAAAAGCAATATTTTTCCGTGCTTCTTTTTAAATTGTCCAATCTCTACTTTTGTACGTTCAGTTGTAAAAGTTGTCTGACAATAACTTTCAAGTGCATTTATATATGGTACTATATGTGTAACCTTTCACTGTCTTTTTTTATACTAAAGAGCTATATACCCGATTAATATAAAAATCTATTTATTTTGGCAATATTTGTTTTGTTGTTACTGGTGTCACATTTGAGGAGCTTGAAATTTCTTTGGGACATGGATATCTTAGAGGCATTCAAAATCATTTGGATGTCAAAAAATCAAAGAACAAATAATTGTATACTTAAAGATAGGGTATAAATAATGGCATGATCCAAGTCAATGAGAGAACTTGAACGAGACGGACCAGATACAGTGCGAGGTGTATTGGAGGAAGACATAAATTTTCGGGTTCTTACGCTTATCTTTAAAATTATGCCCCAAAATATTTTTAACCATAGTTGTGATTGTTATTTAAAAACATTTATAACATTGTTATTTTTAAAATGAAACGTCAAGTAGTTCTGCTTATCGCACAAATGTACCGATATTTTGTTTGAGATCCCTGTAGATCGATAAAAAGAAACAAAAGTAGCCCGTTTATAATCTAAGGACTTGAAACAAAATAAAACCTGTATACATTTGTTCCAAATTCAGAAAAGTTATTCCGGTTTTCAAATATACCTATACCAAATAAATCTAAAATCTCCATATATATACTTTTGGCACGCCAAACTATCGCCCACAAATATACTATCAAACCAAAATTATATATCGATATAGTATATTTAGCATCCCTAAATTTGCCGTGCTGTCAAATTTTCTGATGCAATTACCATTTATTAAGTGAATTAAAAGTTTATAAAAGTTTAAAGCTAAGTTTAACCTACAACTATAAGAACAATGGATGCGGAAGACGTAAGTATTGTTAATGCAGTAGAAAGATGCATTGTACTAACGATTCTTGGGTAAACGCACAGGCATATGTGTGATGTATACATGTGCACACCCGATGCACACATATTTACATATATGCGTGTGAATTCTGCGAACAATGGTTGAGGTTATGTTAATAAATAATTATTAATGGAATTATTTCATTTTATTTAGGGTTTTGATCCCACTTTGTTGAAAAAGAAGAAGAAGAAGAAGACAACCTTCGACTTAGATGCGGCATTGGGTCTCGATGATGAAGGAAAGAAAGAGGAGCCCCAGGATGATGGCTCGATCGAGGCCGGGGAGCCCGAGCTGGAAGATAATTTAGATCTGGAAAGCTTTGGGAAAAAGAAGAAAAAGAAGAAGAAGCCATTCAATATGGATGAAATCGAGGCCGCTGTGCCAACGTTTGGCTCCGACGATGTTGTGCTCACGGAGGAGCCCGAGGAAGAGGAAATCAACTTGGACATGGACTTCTCCATGGCTAAAAAGAAGAAAAAGAGCAAGAAGAAGGACTTGGATGAGTTGTTCGCCGACAAAATGGATGATGATAAGGGCGACGACAAGGAAAATGGTATGTCATCAGTTTTTTAGTCCCATTTTGATCACGGACTAAAGTTGAACTTTATATTTCAATAGCGGAAGACAACAGTTCGACGTGGGCAGGTTCCGATCGAGACTATACTTATGACGAATTGCTAAAGCGTGTGTTCGAAATAATCCTTGACAAAAATCCCGACATGGCTGCTGGACGTAAGCCTAAATTTGTCATGCGACCTCCTCAGGTGTTGCGCGTGGGCACAAAGAAAACCTCTTTCGCCAATTTCATGGATATTGCAAAGACGCTCCATCGTATGCCCAAGCATCTGCTTGACTTCTTACTGGCCGAGTTGGGTACAAGCGGCTCTATGGACGGTAACCAGCAGCTCATTATAAAGGGTCGCTTCCAGCCCAAACAGATCGAAAACGTACTGCGTCGCTACATTAAGGAATACGTGACGTGTCATACCTGCCGTTCCCCCGAGACAATATTGCAGAAAGACACACGCCTGTTCTTCCTCCAGTGCGAATCCTGCGGTTCTAGATGCTCTGTGGCCAGTATCAAATCAGGTTTCCAGGCTGTCACCGGCAAACGTGCCGCCATTCGAGCAAAAACAACATAAATATTTTATATTTCTCTATATTTAATACATGCTTTTTTTATTGAGTAAAAATTCAATACAAAAGGAGCTATCACACTATTTTTAAATTTTGTAGCTTTTGTGCCAATCAATGTAATGATCCGCAAAAGCAATTTCAAGCTTGCGTGGTTTACCTTTGTCTATGAAAAAGGAAGAGGCCTCCAAGCTTATGTTCCCTCTAAAGAAATTTGGACGACAATGCAGCAAAACACTATGTCCTCTCCGTATGGCAGAGGGGTCTACATATTCCAAGGATGCAGACAGAAGCCGCATCATGCTTTCAGATATTTGCTTGTAGCTTTCCTCATTTGAGAGCAGTGCCGCCTCATTATGGAGAGCTGCAATCGTCGTCCTCTTCCATGGCTTGGTAGCAATGCTTGCTTCCAGCGATGCAGTACTGTCGTCGAGAATGTATCTGCGATATAATTTATGGTGCGGGCATTCTCCGGCTACAAAGGCGTACACAATACAAGTACGAAAGTGGCATGGGGCCTTGTTAATGGAAATGGTGAACACGGCTTCTTGTTCCCCGTCTCTTGATACCCGTAGTATGTCCTTTAATACCAGCGGAATTTTCTCGTGGATTAACGGCCCCTCCTTTAAATCGTCCTTTGACTTTGGCCCATGTGTGGGCTTTCGAATAATGAAATTATCAACCTGGTCCTCGATATCAGATATACTTAAGTTTGCGGCCATCGAGCGACAATTTCATAAATAAATAAAATAAAAAAATCTCTTAAATAATCGATACTATCGATAGTGCATTTTTGGAGTCCAACTTGGAAATCGAGACTTTATTATTTTACTTATTTATTATTTTATTTTGACTATTTTAGTATATTTAATAAAACATTAGTCTTTAGTTTAACACAGTGCTCAATTCAGTCGCACTATTCATATACGGACTTTTAAAATTAATTGTGTTTTCTCCATCCCTGAGTAAATCTAGGGCCGAAGATAACGCCATCCCTCGTAATAATTTTCACAGCTTGTGAAATTAAAAATAGAATTCAATTGCAATTTGCAATTTGCAGTTTTCTGATCAAGTGGAATGTCTGGTGGTCCCTCAGTAACGCTAAAAAGTCAACCAATTGATGGGAGTAACAGCGGAAATGCTGCAGCGCAACAGCAGCAGCAATCTGCGAATGGCGCAGCGTCTTCAGCGAACCAGGGCCAAGGCAGCAACACCAATGGTAGCGCTGGGGTAAGCGGCGGTGCGCCCGCACAAGAGGGCACCCGCCAGAACAGCTTGCAGCGCATCCAGCAGCGAAAGCAAAAGGTATTCAACCTGCCCCTGCCCCAGAAGGTGGCCAAGCTGTCGATGTACTCGGCCTGCCAGGCTGAAGGCTGCCGTTGCACCGGATGGAAAACACCTCAGGAGAACAGGCATCGTGATGTGGAGTCGTCTTACTGTCCAGAATTCAACGAGGAATGTCGCAACTCCAGCTGCCGTCATTCCCTGCGAACGCACATCGCCCACTTGGACAATATAACCAGCTCCAGCATGGACGAGCTTCTGGGTGCCATTATTGATATGGAAAATCTGTTCATGTCCATGCAGCGAGTGGAAGATGAGGATACCAAAAAGGTATATTTGTATCTGTTCCGCCTGTTGCGTCAGTGCGTCCTGACGCGCCAGCAAGCTGTCATTCGTGGCCCTTTGGGTGATCCCCCGTTCGAGTCGCCATGCATTACAAAGGCAGTTTTGTCCCTGGTCTTCTACAAATACCAGCACCTTAACCCGACTGAGCTACAAACAATGACTGAGGTGGCAAAAACGTTTTTAAACTTTCTCAACCACTACAATTTCGAGTCGCCTTCAACGAGGCGCGGCGAACTAGCCCATGAGGATGCGTCCAACTATAAGATCAACTATACCCGCTGGCTTGTCTTCTGTCATGTTCCTGCTTTTTGCAATTCTTTGCGCCAGTTCGAGACCTCGCTGGTGTTCGGACGCACCCTTCTGCGCACCGTGTTCCAGTACATGTCGCAGCAGCTAAAGAAGAAGTGCATTTCGGAACGAGATCGCTTTCCGGAAGACAAGCGGTCCATTATAACGCAAATGCCAAAGTTTCTTGAGGCGCTGCGAGCAGAGCTTTTGAAAGATGACTCCCCCATATGGGATCCCAACTATCGTCCACCCAATTCATTTGTCATCCAGCAACGGAAGCGCAATCAGGAAGCGGCGGCACCACCAGCACCTGGTGGCGGTGCAGCTGCTATTGGCAGCAATAAACGCTCAAGCGTGGGGGAACCACTTCACAAGAGACCCAAAAAGGAAACGCTCGAGCGCCCCATCAGGTTTGTTACATTCATCTTGTCCTGGTAATCCTAATTCTGACCAATTTCTGCCAGTGAGAACTTGGACGATCTTCCTACAGATGTGGTAATGCGTGCCATGAAATCGGTCTCCGAGTCGAAAACAACAAACAAGTCGGAAATTCTCTTCCCGGTCAATGTGTCACGGGATGAGAACGTCAAGGCCGAGGAGCAGAAGCGCGCCATTGAGTTCCATGTGGTGGGCAACTCCCTAACGAAGCCAGTGGATAAGCAGACAATCCTGTGGCTCTTCGGTCTGCAGCTTGTCTTTGCCTACCAACTTCCCGAAATGCCCCGCGAGTATATAAGCCAGCTAGTGTTTGACACAAAGCACAAAACCCTTGCCCTCATCAAGGAAAGCCAGCCAATCGGGGGCATATGCTTCCGTCCGTTTCCATCGCAGGGATTCACAGAAATCGTGTTCTGTGCCGTCACCATGGCGGAGCAGGTTAAGGGTTATGGCACCCATTTGATGAACCATCTGAAGGATTACAGTATTCAGCGCGGTATTAAGCATCTGCTCACATTTGCCGATTGCGATGCCATCGGATATTTTAAGAAGCAAGGATTCTCCAAGGACATTAAGCTGGCTCGTCCCGTCTATGCCGGCTATATAAAGGAATACGATAGCGCCACTTTGATGCACTGCGAGCTGCATCCAACCATTGTAAACACGCAGTTTATTGCGGGTATGTAAAAAGAATTGTCTAACCTTGAATATTTTCAAACTGTTTTGTTTTCAGTGATCAGAAATCAAAGCGAAATTCTGAAAGAGCTCATTGCTCAGCGACACAATGAAGTGCAGAAAGTTAGAGCTGGTTTAACTTGCTTTAAGGAAGGGGTTCGGTCTATACCGGTCGAGTCCATTCCTGGCCTCATGGAAATCGGTTGGAAGCCACAAATGCGCCCAGCTCGATCGGCCCGACCCTTGGAGGAATCGTCGGATCCAGAGAAACTGGCCACATCATTCGCGTCTGTCCTTCAATCAGTCCGACAGCACACCACGGCATGGCCCTTTTTGCGTCCAGTGACTGCTGCGGAAGTGCCCGACTATTACGACCACATTAAGTATCCCATGGACTTGAAGACGATGGGCGAACGTTTAAAGAAGGGTTACTATCAAACACGTCGCCTTTTCATGGCAGACATGGCACGCATTTTCTCAAACTGTCGCTTTTACAACTCCCCCGAAACCGAGTACTATCGCTGTGCCAATTCGTTGGAGCGCTATTTTCAAACGAAAATGCGCGAACTGGGACTGTGGGACAAATGATTTGAATGATTGATGTCTAATGATATATATATATATATATATATATACTAACTATATAAACAGAGTACGATCATTACTTCATATATTTATTCTAGGTTTATCTGCAGAAATACATATGAATTATTATTTTTTTTAACAAATTATAATCTGCGAAACTGATATTACGGGTAACTTTTTGGGAATAGTGCTCGAACCTTGTCTCATTAATTTAGAACTTCCAAATAAATGAAACATTTTGAAAACTAAAATCTTGGGCAGAAAACTCTCAATTTCACATACATTTTAGGGAGAAAAACATTAGAGCTAGGCTTGGTGCGATTTTTATGCGTAACTTGATCACCAGGATCAGTTCCCATTAGATCCAATCCAAAGACACTACACAATTATGCCAGCCGGGTTTCAGATTGAATTATTCCGTGCACGAGCCATTCCAATTTGTCGTCCCCTTCTTAATTTAATAATACGAATACTACTAATATTTGTCATTTAGATGTATGCTTAGCTCTTTCAATTCAAAACTATATTTCCTGCACGTCCGCAAGTGTCGCGCGGCATGCGGCATGCGGCATGCGGCAGCGCACCTCGGTTGCTCCTTTCTGGCAAGGAGCCTCGCGTTATAGTCTTCGGCTTGGGCCACGACACGTCAACGTTATACTAACTATGATATCAGGAATTACAGACCGTGTAGTGTAGTGGTGTGATTTGTACATCTGTTTGTCTCTTTCATTTTTGTCTCTTTCTATTCTAGAATAATTTTTGGACTTGTGCGAGTGTTTTTGTCTTTTCGTTTTTATTAATTCTCATTTAATTTCCTACATTCATTGTTTGCATGCTTTAATATTTAGGATTTCTTTGTTTTCGTTTGGTTTAATAAACATTTGTTCAATAATGTTATTATCAGTTATAAAATGATAGCTTATACAATATTACGTGGGACTGGAGTTGAACTGGGATCGGACTTGAGAGAGCGGTCATTGTACAAAGGCTAATGCACATCCGAGTGTTTTTTATTATGTATGTTAGTTTCTGAATATGTTTGTTGTTCATGCGCAGGCGCAGCGACACGTGGAAGGCAGCTTGCAAAGGCATTTATGGAAACAGACGTGTTGGAGTGTATACATATGTACGTACTTATGAGGATGGGTAACGGGGAATGGGGTAGTAGATAGTAGATAGTACAATGAAAAGTGTTAACTGCAGTTACTTATTGTTGAATTCATTTATTTCTATTACACGTTATCAAATGTTTAAGTAATTTTAAGTTCAATAAGGTAGTCTTTACAATTTTGATGTTACTTGCGAAACGTACTATTAGTATATGTTTATCTGGCTAACTCGATAATTGCATATTTATATCGTATATATACATAATATGTAGAGCTAATCAGGGGTGAGCATATGTGGAGAGGAGAGATATACATATATTAGATACAATTACATACATATTTTGTTTTGTTTTTATGATTACATTATGTTGAAATGTGTCTGTGTGCAAATGTGTGTACTCCGTGCACCTCGCCACACCTCACTATTATTGGGAAACGTTTTTTGTGCTGAATTTAGTACAAATATATATATATATATATATATATATATCTGATTACATGTAATCCCCAGGGCTCCAGGGAGCTGTGGGAAGGCATACCTTATATTCGTGTGTATGTATGTATATCATGGGTCTCTTAAACGATGAAGCATGCAGAATGTTATTTCACTTGAACGGTTTCTCTGCATTAAGCCCAAAACCGTCAGCAAATCACAAAGTAATCTTGGCTGCTCTGCTACTTCTACACCAAGAACGAAACACTACTGAGACTGTTTTCAAATATTAAGTTACATAAATTCCAATGCAAGCTTGCAACCCGAGATCCTACGTATCGTATCGTATCGTTTCGTTTCTTCTCTACCACTGGTTTTCGGTTTCTCTTTGAATGATTTTTTAAATAATTTGAAACTTGTACAGAATTCTGCTGCTGCCAAAATTTCGGAAATTGTGCTTTTAATACAATTTGCAATACGCATTGCTGATTTTATTTTTCATTTTCATCTTTAAAATGGTCTTAAATCATAGATTAAATGCTAGTAAAACGTTTCAAGTCTGTCG